CAGCAGGTCGAGGTTGCAGTGTCCAGGAGTGGCCACTACACTCCAGTCTGGGTGACAGAGTGAGACTCCAACTCAAAAAAAAAAAAGAAAAAAAAAAAAGAAGGAAGGAGAGGCCAGGTACGATGTCTCATGCCTGTAATCCCAGCACTTTGGGAGGCAGGAGGATCGCTTGAGGCTAGGAGTTTGAGACCAGGCTGGGCAACATAGTGAGATCTTGTCTCTACAAAGAAAAAAATTAAAAACTTAGCCGGGCAGGGTGGTGCATGCCTGTAGTCCCAGCTACTCAGGAGGCTGAGGTAGAAGGATTGCTTGAGCCCAGAAGGTCGAGGCTGCAGTGAGCTGTGATCACACTACTGTATTTCAGCCAAGACAACAGAGTGAGACACCAACTCAAAGAAAAAGTGCATAAAAAAAGAGAAGGAAAGAAATAATATTTATATGCACATAGTTCAATATGTTTATTTGTATTTATATAAGATACATATACTCGTGCATATGCATATTCACACCTATTTACTGGTACTTGTATAAAATACCCCTGCAAAAATCTGGAAGCCACTAGTAATATGGTTGCCCTGAGGTGGTGGGAAAATGTGGCAGGAAAGAGACTTTGCATGTTCTTTTGTATATTTTGAATTTTGTGAATGCAATGTCCATTTTAGTGCAATTTAAAATAAGTTAATAAAGAAAGATTAAGGGCTTCTGCACTAGACAGGGGTCCAGTCTCTCTCTCTCTCTCTCTCTCTCTCTCTCTTTCTCTCTTTCTTCTTCCCCCCAATCGCCGACGCCATCTCCACCTTTGGAGTACCCTGAACCCGGCTGGAGCTGGACTCTGGCATGGTTTATTTACTCTCCATTAGTTTAAATCCTTGAGAGGTACAGCATTCATTGCTGCCTTTGAAGACACGGGAAGGAGCCATGAGCCAAGGAATGCAGGCAGCCTTTAGAAACTGGAAAAGGCAAGAAAATGGATTCTGCCCTGCATCCTCCAGAGGGAATACTGCCCTGATGAACACCTTGATTTCAGCCAGGGAGAAGTCACAACATGGTTACTCAATCCATAACCTAACTGCAGCCAAGATAACAACAACCAGACCTCTGGGAGGACTACCTCCCAAAATAAGCTATCAGAACAAGATGCATAGACCTGCACTATGGGCCACTCTCTCATGCTTCCCATGCCAAGTTTTCCTGTAGCCTGAGCATCTGAGGTGGTATTTTGGGGACTTTAGTCTACAATCTTTTAGGTTGTCAGTTTTTGAATAAAACCTATTTTTTCTTCCAAAAAAAAAGAAAGATTCAAAGCCCCCCCCAAAAAAATCTGTCATTCTTAGTCTTTGAGTGTGGCTTTTTGGTTTCTATCTTTCCAATCCTCCAATGTTGACGCTCTCATTCTGATGTTCTGTTTTGCTATGGTTGTTTCTAGGACTCCCAGATTTCATGCCTCTAGGGCCCCACCCATCCTCCAGGTCATCACAGATCAGCTGCCTCCTGGGACTGGCCCTCCACCCCCAACACACCTCAGCGGGTGCTCTCACCTCAGCGGGGGCCCACAGTTGACCAGGGCAATGGTCTTGCTGATATAGGTGTCAGGCAGCAGTTCTCGGATGCCGGGGTTCTCGTGGAATCGCTCCACGCGCTGCTGGAAGCTGGCGGAAGATGGGGAGGGTGGCGGACAGATGGGACACAACTGGGTCAGGGCCCCTCGCGGGACACACAGCCCTCCAAAGCCACAGTCCCCACCCTGGTGGCCTGCCCGGCCCTCCCTGGCTGTCTTTCACCTCTCCTGTCTCTGCTGGGTCCTAGGCCCCATGCCCAAGACCACCAAACCTGCACCCCCATCCCCCATACCTCTGCAGAAACTCTGCCAGCCCCCCCAGGCAGCAGTGGGCCATCCGCTCCCCAAATTCCTGGCTGATGCGGGGCGCTCGCTCAGTGTGCTCTTCCAGGAGCTGAACAGGTGGGGGGGTTGAGGAGAGGAGAGGTGTGGAGAGGTGAGGCCCCACCTTCCCACCCGGGCATGGTCCAGCCCATCCCGCCTCCTCCCACCTCCTACCTCACACACATCCTGTGCCAGGCAGCTGGGCCGGTCCTCCAAGCTCCCCCAGTGCTCCTCGTCCTCCTGCAGCACTCGGAGGAGGGCTGCCCGGGTCTGAGCCTGGAGTGGAGGGATGAGGTGGGGAGAGGCTGGCTGCCTGGGAGTCTTTCTCTCTCCCCCGCCCCGGACACTCTCCATCTCTTTCTGCCTCTGTCTCTGTCTCTATCTCTGTCTCTGTCTCTCTATCTCTGTCTCTTTCTGCCTCTCTGTCTCTCCGCCTCTCTCTGCTTCTCCAACTCTCCGTCTCTTTCTGCCTCTCTGTCTCTCTCTCTCCATCTCTGTCTCTGTCTCTCTCTATCTCTTTGCCTCTTTCTCTGTCTCCCCATCTCTTCATCTCTTTCTGCCTTTCTCTTTCTCTCTGCCTCTCTCTGTCGGTCTCTCTGCTTCTCTATCTCTATCTCTCTGTCTCTTTCTGTTCTGCCTCTCTCTCAATCTCTCCACCTCTCTCTCTCTCTATCTCTTTCTGCCTCTCTCTCTCCGTCTCTCCAACCCCGCAGCCCCCGCCATGATCCCCTTGCCCTTAGGCCCAAACAGTTCTGGATTCTACCCAGGAGCTGGTGAAGGTGATGCTCATGAACTGAGCCAGAAAACCTCCTCAGTCCCTTCCGCTCCTAAGTCTATGGTTTGGAGCTTTATAGTAACAGTCTGGTTTTATGCTTCCTCCACCCAGTAGCCAAGGGGCTTAAGGGTTTACATATCATTGTTGGATAGTCCTAAGAATCCACTCTCAGTTTCTGCCAAACAATTAGTTCAAGTTGCTCAGATCTGGCCAAATGCAGGGCCTCACACCTGTAAACTCAGCCCTTTGGGAGGCCGAGGCAGGAGGATTGCTTGAGCCCAGGAGTTTGAGACCAGCCTGGGCAACACAGCAAGATCTCGTCTCTACAAAACATACAAAAATTAGCCAGGCATGGTAGCATGTGCCTATATAGTTCCAGTTACTCAGGAGGCTAAGGCTGGAGGATTGCCTGAGCTCAAGAGGTCGAGGCTGCAAGGAACTGCGATCATAACAGTGAACTCCGGCCTGGGTGACAGAGTGAGACTCTGACTCAAAAAAAAAAAAAAAAAAATTATCAGATCCTATGATTCGAGAACTCCAAGGAGCTGGGTGGGATTCAAAGGTTAATGTGTTGTCTTCAGTCTAACGAATCTGAGGATCTGGATATGTTCAAATCTTTGATTCTAGGCTCTGGAGTCACAAGGACTCTGATTTCTGTGGTGGGGGCAGGTGTGCCTAGCCAGGACCACTCTGCTGGGCATGCCCGTGCCCAGGTGCCCATTAGTTATGTTTCCCATTAACCCTGCTAGGACGCAGGACTGTACCCTGATGTTTATCCTAGATGCCCGGTTTCTGTGACTGTTTGGGCCCGTGCGCAAGGTGCTGTGACTAACATTCTCTTGCTCTGGAATTGACAAGTCTGAATGTATCGAACCCTTATCAAGTGTCCCTCTGCCCAGGAGCTGGTGTTTGGCCTCCCACGTGGAACACAGACAGAAATGACCACGATGGTCATGTATAAAAAATTTCCATGCAAAGATCTGGAAGTCGCTAGTAATATGGTTGCCTTGAGGTGGCAGGAGGATATTGCAGGAAGGAGACTTTGCTCTCGTGGCTCACGGACAGACCTCAGCTGTTCACAAAGGGAAAAGGGAGGCCAGACATGGTGGCTCACACTTGTAATCCCAGCACTTTGGGGGGGCCGAGACGGGAGGATCACTTGAGCCCAGGAGTTTGAGACCACCCTGGGCAACATGTCAAGACCCCATCTCTACAAAAAATCAAAAAATTAGCTGGGCATGGTGGCACACTCAGGAGGCTGAGGTGGAAGGATCGCCTGAGCCCAGAAGATAGAGGCTGTGGCGAGCAGTGATTGTGCCACAGCACTCCAGCCAGGGCAACAGAGTAAGATCCAACTTAAAAAAAAAAAAAAAGGCTGGGGGGAAAGGGGATGAAAATAGTGTAAGGGGAGGTAAGAATCCCCCCAAGCCCACTGTGACCCCCTTCCTCTCTACAGAGCACCTCCCACTGCCAAATTGCCAAGTCCCGGGTACCTTCACATCTGTGACACATTCATCCTCCAAACCCCTTAGGGTGCCAGGGGACAGAAGGGGTCCCAGCTCCCCATTCTCCAGGGCAACCATGTCCACCAGCCCTAGGACCTCTCTGCAGGTAGGGGATGAGAGAGAGGGCGGGCTGTGAGAGGTGGGGCCAGGCGGTGGAACCCTTCCCCGAACCCTCCCCCACCCCGTGTTCCTGACCCTGGGTCCCTCCCTTCCTCTCCCTGATCCAACTTTGCTCATCCCTCAGAGGAAGTCTCAGGAGTTGTTGCTCTCCTGGCTCCAGCTCTCTGAGTCAGCTCCCTGATGAATGGTGTCCCAGCAAGACACCGCAGGGGTCAAGTCCAGGCTTGATGATCTGACGCACAAGGTCACGCCCATGATCAGCCTCAAGAGATAGAAGCGCCCTTCCACCACTGCTCCGAGGCCCTGTTGCCTCCTCTGGCCCTGGGGGCCTCCCCTGCCCACCCCTCATCCACCCCACCCCCCTCCTTCAATGCCCTGAGCTGAGTGACATCACCACTGCTCACACCCACTCCCCACCCCCACACACACCCCATCTCTTTTGGCTCATGGCACCCTCTCAACCAGGGACACCATCCCCCTACAGATTGGACCTGACCCACATCCCACCACACCAGAGAGTTTTCCAGACGGCCTATTCTGCCTGATCTCACCCGGGTGGCATGAGAATGTCATGGACACGTATTCCCGAGTGGGATCTCTGGGGTGGACATTGGTAGCTGCCCCTTTCTATCTTCTTCCGGTGATGGCATTTTGACTGTGTTGGGGGAACCTCCCCCCTCCCTTCACTCTCCCACATGTGGTTTGGGGGTGGCTAACTCCCTCTTCCCTGGAGTGGACAGGTGACCCAGTGGCAGCCAATCACCAGCCGCAAGAATGGCTACATTTTAGGATTCAAAGGCTCAACAGGTGTATGATTCTAGGGCTGGGATCATCAATGGAACTGAGGCTCTGGGTGCTGCAATCATAGCGTTCGAGGGGCCAGCAGCACTGACGTCCTGGGACTATAGGATCATTGTGTCAAGGTTCCAAGATCCAGAACAGAGATAAGGCTAAGGTTTAGAATTTGGAGGGCTTATGGATACTAAGGTTCTAGGGTTGGAAGGGTCATAAATTCTAAACTGCTAAGATTGGAATAGTCATTAGTACTAATGCTATAAAAGCTAGAGAGAGATCAGTGTAAGAATTTTAGAATTCTAAGGGTCAGCTCTAGTACTCACCTTACTATAAGGGTCAGTGGGCTGAGGTCTAGGATAGGAATGGCCAAGAGTGCTAAAACTCTAGGACCAGAAGGGTGAGCAGCTAAGATTCTAGCAGTATATGCCTTCGTGATGCTAAAGTTCTTGGATGGGGCTGGGGAGGAGTCCACAGTGCTGAGCTGCTAAGACCGAAGCAGTCAACAGTGCCAAGGTTTTCAAATTGCAAGAGTTCATGGTGAGCAAAGATTCTATGCTCTAGGTCTACAAGGGTGGAATGCTAAAATTCTAAGGCTGAAAGGAGGCTGAGTGTGGTGGCTCATGCCTGTAATTCCAGCACTTTGGGAGGCCGAGGCAGGAGGATCGCTTGAGCCCAGAAGTTTGGAACCAGTCTGGATAACATAGCAAGACCTCACCTCATTTTTTTTATAGAGGCTAGGAGGGTGGACAAGGCTAAGATCCCAGTGGAGGTATAGACAGTTTAGGACCTGAGTGGTGCTGAGCTCTGAGCCTAGGAGGGTGGACAAGGCCAAGATGCCAGCGGAGGTGTAGACAGTTTAGGACCTGAGTGGTACTGAGTTCTGAGGCTAGGAGGATGGACAAAGCTAAGATCCCAGTGGAGGTGTAGACAGTTTAGGACCTGAGTGGTACTGAGTTCTGAGGCTAGGAGGGTGGACAAGGCTAAGATCCCAGTGAAGGTGTAGACAGTTTAGGACCTGACTGGTGCTCAGCCCTGAGGCTAGGAGGGTGGACAAGGCGAAAGATCCCAGTGGAGGTGTAACAGTTTAGGACCTGAGTGGTGCTGAGCTCTGAGGCTAGGAGGGTGGACAGGACTAAGATCCTGGTGCAGGTGTAGACAGTTAGGGCCTGAGTGGTGCCGAGCTCCGGGCCTGGAAGGCTCCACTGAGCCAAGGTTCCAGCAGGAGGAGCGGACAGCACGGAACCTCTAGGGTCGCAGCTGTCCCCGGTGCGGAGGTCTGGACGGGTCGATGGTGCTAAGGCCCCAGGCCGAGAGGACGGCTGTTCGCCCCCCGCAAAGAGGCCGGCGCTGGGGGCGGCCCGGGGCTCTACGCGACCTCGGCCGGCCGCCAGCTCACCTGGGGTACACCTGGTTGTGCCAGTGCAGCAGC